CAAGTGTTCTAGAACCATGATTATTGGATAGAAACACAAGCACTGATATCTAGGAATACTGCATTCTAATAGAGTACTATGTAACTATACTGAATTACAAATTGGGTGTTGCTAAATGGAATTTCTTTGGGGAAATATGCCTGTCTGATCTATTCTTCCTTTTCCCTACAGGGATGGCTGGTATGACAGCTTATGTTGGGTTCTATGAAGTTTGTTTTCCTAAGAAAGGAGAATATGTCTTCATTTCAGCTGCATCCGGTGCTGTTGGTCAGCTTGTTGGACAATTAGCAAAGTTGATGGGTTGCTATGTGGTTGGCAGTGCTGGAAGCAAAAAGAAGGTAAACTTACTTTAAGCTTCATGTCTTCACCATATTCAGATAATGAACCAATCGATTAGCTCAAGGAACTTAGTGTTTAAGTTTTCTGAAATTCATGGAAATTCATAAGTAGGAATCATAGAAACATAACTCTTTAACTAGCTAACTAAATTTGTTTTTTTTTTGTGTGGACATTTTTATTTTCTCAAATAGGTTGATCTGTTAAAGAACAAACTCGGATTTGATGAGGCTTTCAATTATAAAGAAGAAAACAACCTAAATGCAACCTTGAAAAGGTCAGTACACACACACACTCAAACAAAATTTTGCATATATAGGATAAGTTGTTTAATACTCTGAGATACTGAAAATATAGATGTATGTATGTAATTGAGTGACACAGATGTTTCCCTGAAGGAATAGACATCTACTTTGAAAACGTAGGGGGAAAGATGCTTGACGCAGTGCTGATAAACATGAGAGTTAATGGGCGAATTGCTGTGTCTGGAATGATCTCACAATATAATAATATTGGTGAGCCGGAAGGAGTGAGGAATTTGATGAATATTGTTTATAAGCGAGTTAATATAAAAGGATTTGTGGTTTTTGATTACTACTCCGAATATTCAAAGTTCCTAGACCTTGTACTTCCATACATCCGAGAAGGAAAGATAACATACATTGAAGACATAGCAAATGGCATTGAGAGTGCACCTGCAGCCCTTATTGGACTTTTCACTGGCCGTAATATTGGGAAACAAGTTGTTACGGTTGCTCAAGAGTAGAGTGATGAGGGAGATGGATTTCCTAAGACGTGCTTAAGTTGGTCCTGGGTTTACCTTATCATACAATGACAAAAATTAGTAGTATTTTTATGTGTCCCTACGTTCAAAACATAATATAATGGTGTAACAAGAACTTGTTGCACTTCTTCTTTGTATGGATATTAAATAAGAAAAGAAACAAGAAATTGTATTTATGGAGATACATATATTGGTGTAATGAAAAAAGCATATATATTATTTAAATAAGAATATTTTCTCTCTACCCTCTCCAAAAAATTATTAAGTGTTCTAGGAATAAACTCAACCTATTGTTTAAATAACAGCACAGAGCATGCTATAGTTGGTATAACTTTCCTACGAAGAACCATGCCCTTTTGAATTCTAATTTTGTTCTTACTTTGCCCACAGGCATGCTTAATATGACAACTTATACTGGGTTTTATTAAGTTTGTCCTCTAAGAAAGGAGAATATGCTTTTATTTTAGCTGCATCGGGTGCTATCGATCAGCTTGTTGGGTAATTTGTCGAGTTGATACGCTGCCATGTGATTGAAAATGCTGGGAATAAAGAGAAGGTGATCTCATTTCTAGACATTACTGTTGACTTGGTCTTTGATTTTATGATTTTCATTCCTTTATTTTTTTCCAAAGAAAGTTGACATTTTGAAAACCAAGCTCAAACTTGATGCTGCTTTCAACTACAAGAAGAACAGGACTTGGATGCACCTGATACAGCCGTGAAAGATCAGCACAATTTGTTAGTTATGTACTCAGCCCAAAAGGGCAAATAAGTAATTTCTTAAAAAAAAGAAAAATACGA